CACAATTATCCCTCTAAACACTAAAATATACATTTCTATTTCAATATATTAACAGAAATCATGGTTGTATTTATTGATAGTATACCTGTTTGCTTCACTACGTTGATGGAAAAACCCAAAGATAAAAATTGGGATCATATTATACTTATGATTTAGAAGCCGTAATTTTTTTCATTTAATATTTTACAAACATTTTTATGTCATTAAATATTCTTCCATAAAAGTATTTTTAATGAAGGCATCATACTCCATAATATTTATTTCAATTATCCAAACCTCTAATATGAAATTTAGATTGCTTACCACTTTTTATTATTATAAATGACATCATGATATAGACTCTCACCACCCCCATCCCTACCCCTAAACCCTGCCACAAGCCTTTGCAGGCAATCTGATTATGTCCTCAGTAAAAATCCTCAAAAAGAGAATTGCTGAGTTAGAAGGCATGCATATTTTCGGGATTTTGAAATATATCAAAATATGCCAAACTGTTCTCCAGAAAGGTTATATATTCTATAATCCTAGAGTATGAGAGAGCAAATTTGGTTACGTTCTTATCAAAACTGTTCATTAACGTTTTGTTTTGTTTTCCTATTCCAAAAACCCTAACCTTTTCCTCTATTACATTTCTTTGGTTACTGGCAAGATTCAGTAACAGATACTGGTTTAATAAACATTTAGTATTTCCTTTTAAAAATACTTTTGATATCCTTCATGCATTTTCCTGCTGTCTTATACTAGATACCAACATTTAGTCTACTATAAAGTGGCAAACATTTCCCTAGTCCTCCCTCTCTCCCTTCCTTCCTTCCCTCGCTCCCCCAGGCTGGAGTGCAGTGGCATCATCATAGCTCACTGCAGCCTTGAACTCCTGGGCTCAAGTGATCCTTATACCTCAGCCTCCTGAGAAGCTGTGGGGACCACAGGTGTGTGCCACCATGATCAGCTAATATTTATATTTTTATCAAGACAGGGTCTTACTACGGTGCTCAGGCTGATCTTGAACTCCCAGGTTCAAGCAATCCCTTCACCTTGGCCTCCCAAAGTGCTAGGATTACAGGCGTGAGCCACCACGCCAGCCTCTATTTTATTTTTAACACAGGAAAATTTTAAGTGTTCGTCTGGTGAAATCTCTCAATTTCTGCCCTTTTGATTTCAGCTATTAGAAGACAAATTCCAAGTCAGGATAATGTTCATATGATATGTATATGCAAATAATTATATTTTTCGCTCCTTGCTCTATCTTATTTCTTTTTCTCTTCATATAGCACTGGCTAAAACTTCCAGAACAGTGTTTCCTGTAATAAGTGGGTTAATTTTTAATGTAATTAAATGTAATTGAGAAGTGATTTAATAGCATGAAAAAATGCTAAATTTTTGCCTATAATAATAAATCACAGTTGCAAGATTTCTCTTTTTTAAAGAATCAGGAATAGGTACTGTTGTGGATTTTTTTTTGTCATGACTACAGGGGTGGTGGGTTAGAGAGATTTTGGTGCCTCAAATAATTGTATACTGTTTGTCCAGCATTACCTTCTTAGCATTATATACGTTGTTAATTTTTGAGAAAAAAACAAATTACAAATTTGTCTCAAAACCTCCTAAGATATAATCCTGGCTAAAGGAAAGAAGAGAGAGATGGAATAGATATGGCAGAATATAATTTCATAGAGTAAGCTCCCCCCTGACAATGAGGACACGAAAAAAGACTGCCTCCCAGGACTGGAAGATTCAGCTGAATATACACGAATGTCATTCCAGGGAGAAGGAGTCGTAGCCAACAGATATTGAATGTTCTGGGTCCACTGTCAAGTTGTAAGCAGAAGCTTCATCTACTCAGGCTCCTTTTGGAAGAAGGATGTACCGAACTGTTTTTCCTTGACATATTCAAAGATTTGAGTCATCAAACGACTCTTGTTCAGATTTCTTTCCAATGAGTCAATACTTAGTGTGCTCCTGATATCATCCAGGTTCTACACCTGCACGGCTTAAGGTCAGACCATTTTATGATCTACCAACATCAGAGATGCTTCTCCACTCCGTGCTAGAGAATTACTGCAAGCAGATGGAAATGTTGCTCTCCCAAGAGAAAGACACTGGACAAAAGGGTTTCACTATCTGTTTTAACTGTATTTCAAAAAAATCAAACAGTTATTACCTGTACTGTTGCTACCCTCTTTGTGAAAATAGATCTCAGTTGTCCTGGGCTCCAGAATTAAATCAGTTCACTAGATCTTTGGGCCTGAACCGTAGCCAGTGGTACTGGCGGCTCACCTTATGGGAGTGGGGAGATGTTCTGATCCCTTTTTTTATTTTCTTCAGAGAAATTTATTCACAAAGACAGGGTGGGAATTCGCGCACATTTCACGTTCTCTTCCCTTGTTGTCAGTGTATTGTAACATCTGGGAAGGAACACATGATCGTATATCTTGCTAAACAGTGTTAAAAAGTCATGTTCAGTTAAAGTGATTTGCTTCCCATGAAGGACAAATTGATACGTAGTTACAGAAGAGGAATTTAGGCGTCATAAATGGGCATCTCCAGAACAGATCTGTAAGTGAATACCAAAGGGTAACGCCTAACCCAGACCCTGATGAATCTGCCAAGGTCACAAATGCCAAATTGAAAAACTCTTCCAGAGGCAGTAGACAAAAAAATTTCTCTGCATCGATTCCAGTGATAGTGTAAACCTCTTTTTCTATTTTAGAATTGTCACATACATACTCTTTACAAACATGTTTACTGCTGGTGGAAAAACAACATACATGCCAAACATAATATATAGTATGTGGCAGATGCTCAAATGTTTATTAGATTAATGGTAAATATGAGGTTAGAATAAAGTTGAATCAAAAAGGAAAAATGATTTAATTTAAAATTTTAGGCATGAAGCTAAAATACACACAAAATATAGTCCCTATTACAATAGCAAAACACATTTAAAAAGATCTTGGAGAAGTCTTAAGATTCGTGTTTCACTTTTTAGAAATCTTATATAACGGGTAAATGAATTAAAGAACAGGAACCTCACATATCTGGACTGTCAACCAAGAGACAAAATTTCTAGAGAAGAAACTGTAATGTTGCATGAATAAAATAAAAAAATGAATACGTGAAGGATATATGTACTGACCCTGACATTAACTAAAAATAGGAGAACTTTTAGTTATTTAAGATGATCTTAAACAAAAGATTGCCTTTTCATTCTGCTTTAGAATTGTGGAATAAATATTTATGAAGTGTCTGTTATGTGTTAACAGTATTCCAGGTGATGAAAATATAGTGGTAAGTGAGACAGGTAAGGTCTCTGCTCTCAGGGAATTTACTTATATTCGAGAGTAAATGATAGCTCAAGGAAAGATAATCAAGTAAGTAAGACAATCCATGTAGTGAAAAGTGCCATAAAGATTGGCAAAATTATTCTGTAAAGAGCCAGATAGTATTTTAAGCTTTACAGGCCAACAGGCAAAATACAAGATATTTTGTAGGCACTTATATAATGACAAACAAAACAAATGTCCACAAAATTTTTGACAAAATTCAAAATGTAACAGTAACACAACATAAAACACATAAAGATATCTGAACACAGATGTAGGTAACACTGCAAATGTCTACTAAGAGGGGACTGGTTAAAAAAATTCTACTAGTTGTTTAAAAAATTTTGATAGAACAATACATCCTGATATAGAAGAATATTCAAAGGTACGTTGCTAAGTGAAATGGGTAAGTGGAAGAAAAGTACATCATCTCATTTGGGGTGAAGGGAATGGTACATACATTTTATGTGCAATGTAATTTCTGCAAGAATGTATGAGTAAACTGACAATTGTAAATTCTGAGAAATGGAGATTTTATATTCTATCCTTTCTCTGGAGTTTGATTTTTTAAAAATTATGTTCCTTTATAATTAAAAAATAGTAAAAATAACAGACCTTCAATGCAGAAAGACTTAAGAGTTTACAATATTAAATAAATCAAATACAGGTGCATGCTGTTTAATGAAAAGAGTAATAAGTACTGTATGAAGACTTAGAAAAAAAATTTGGTTTCAAATTCCTTTTAGCCACACTCCAAATTCTTTTAGGCCTCATCTTGTATTAAGCCAAAAATTTCAAAAAACTTTCCAACAAGTTATAGAATAGCACATACACTCTGATTCTGTATGAATATAAAAACATACATATTCAAAAAAATGACTAAAAGGATACATGCCAGTTAAAACTGGTTACTTTGTTAAGTGGAAAGAAAAGTTTTGCTTCCTACTTCGTTCAATTCTGTATCATATGACTTTTAAAAAA